TTTTTTTGTACAAAAGCTCTTTAGTTTGATATAGTCCCACTTATGTATTTATTTATTTTTAAGATTTTATTATTTATTCATGAGAGACACAGAGAGGGGTAGAGACATAGGCAGAGGGAGAAGCAGGCTCCTCAAAGGGAGTCTGATGTGGGACTCGACCCGCAGACTGGGATTGCGCCCTGAGCCGAAGGCAGACGCTCAACCACTGAGCCACCCAGGCATCTCATCCACTTGTTTATTTTTGCTTTTGTTGCTTGTGCTTTCAGTGTCATATCCAAAAAAATGGTTCCCAAGACTGATGTCAAGAAATTTTTTCCCTGTTTTCTTCTACGAGTTTTATGGTCTTAGGTCTACATTTAAGTTTTTAATCTATTTAATTTTTGTGAGTGGTATAAGGTAGGGCTCCAATTTCATACTTTTGCATGTGAATATCCAATTTTCTCAACACTGTTAAAGAAACTATCTTTTCCCCATTAAGTACTCTTGGCTCCCATGTCAAATTTTAGTGGAGCATGTATATATGTGTGGGTTTATTTCTGGGCTCTCAGTTCTATTCCATTGGTCCTAATGTCTGTTGTTATGCTAGTCTTATTTGGATTGTTATAGCTTCATTATAGTTGAAATCAGGAAGTGTGATGCCTCCAGTTTTGTTCTTTCTCAGGGTTGCTTTCGATTTAGGGATGTTTTGTGGTTCCATACAAATCTTAGGATTTTTTTTTCTGTTTCTGTGGAAGATGCCATTGGAATTTTGAGAGGGATTACACTGCATCCATAGATGGCTTTGAATAGTATGGACATTCTAACAATGTTAATTGTTCTGATCCAAGAACATAAGATATCTTATGGAAAGACGGAAATGTATTTGTGTCTTCGATTTTTTTCATCAATGTCTTATAGTTTTAATGTGCAGATCTTTCACCGCCTGGATAAATTTATTCCTAAGTATTTGTTGTTTTTGATGCTATTATAAATGGGATTCTTTATTTCTTTTTTAAATAGTTTGTTGTTAGTGTATAAGAAATGCAACTAATTTTTGCATATTGATTTTGTGTCCCGCAACTTTAGTAAATTCATTAATTCTAAGTTTTTGGTGGAATCTTTAGGACTTTCTCTATATAAGAGCATATCATCTGTAACAGATACAGTTTACGTCTTCCTTTCCAATTTGGATAACTTTTATTTCTTTTTCTTGTCTAATTGCTTTGTCTAGGACTTCCAGTATTATGTTGCATAGAATTATGGGGCAGTGAGCTTCCTTGTCTTGTTCTTGATCTTAGAAAAAAAACTTTCAGCTTTCCATCATTGAGTGTAATGTTAGGTATGGACTTACCATTTAGGGCTTTTACTATGTTGAGGTGTAGTCCATCTGTATTTCATTGAGAGGTTTCTTTTTCACAAAAAGATGCTGAATTTTGTCAAATACTTTTTCTATTTTCTAACATCTATTGAGATGATCATATGATTTTATTAATGTGGTATATCACATTGGAAGAGGAAGGAACACTTTCAAACTCATTTTTAAAGGCTAGCATTACCTTGATACCAAGGTCGGATAAAGAGACTACAAAAAAAAAAGATAATTATAGACAATTATCTCTAATAAACGTGAGTACCAAAATTCTTGATTCAATCTCCTTTTCTTACTTGGCCTGTTAGATTTTCTATTTCTTTGTGATTCAATCTTGGTAGGTTGTATGTTTCTAGGAATATCCATTTTTTTCTAACTTACCCAATTTGTTGGAGTATAATTGTTCATAGTATTTTCTTATGATCCTTAGTGTTTTGTGGTATCAGCTGTAATGTCACTTCTCCTTTCTGATGTGATTTATTTGAATCTTCTCTCTTTTTTTTCCCCTTAATCTAGCTAAAGTTTGTCAATTTTGTTTATCTTTTCAAAAAACAAGCTCTTAGTTTTGTTGATCTTTTCCATAGTGTTTCTGATCTCTGTTTAATTTATTTTGCTCTGATCTTTGTTATTTCTTTCCTTCTACTATCTTTCATATGAGTTTGTTTTTCTTTTTATACTTCCTTGAGGCGTAAAGTTAGTTTTTTTATTTGAGATCTTCCTTTCTTCTTCTTAATGTGTTTATTGCTATTAAATTCCCTCTTGAAACTACTTTTGCTATATCCTATAAGTTTTCTTATATTGCATTTCCATTTTTATTTGTTTCAAGATGTTTTTAATTTCCCTTTTGGTTTCCTCTTTAACCCATTAGTTTTGCAGGCATGTATTGTTTAATTTCCACATACTTGTGAATTTTCAAGTCTTCCTCTTGAATTTCTAGTTGCACACCATTGTAGTTAGGTAAGATACTTGGTGTGATCTTAATCTTCTTAAATTTGTAAGGCTTGTTTTGTGACTTAACATATAATCTAGCCTTGAGAATGTCCTGTATGCATTTGAGAAAACTGTGTATTCAGCTCTGTTGGGTGGGATTTCTGATATAGCTTTTAGGTCCATTTGGTGTAAAGCCTAGTTCAAGTTCAATCAATCAGGCTGATCTCCTGTCTGGATAAGCTATCCATCATTGAAAGTAGAATACTGAAGTCCTTCACTGTTATTATATAGCTTCTATTTCTTCCTTCAAGTCTCTCTCAAGAGAGAGATAGAGAGATATAAATATAGAGTATAGAGGTATATATTTACAATTGTTATATTCTGATGAACGTTCCCCTTTATCAGTGATTAATTGACCCCTTTATCAGTATATGACCTTTTTTGTCTCTTGTTGCAGTTTTTTTTTCTTTTAAGATTTTATTTACTGTTTCATGAGAGACACACACAGAGAGGCAGAGACATAGACAGAGGGAGAAGCAGGTTCCCTGTGGGGAGTCTGATGCGAGACTCAATCCCAGGACCCCAGATCACAACTTGAGCCAGAGATAGACACTCAACCGCCAAGCCACCCAGGTGCCCTTCTTGTTACAGTTTTTGACTTAAATTCTATTTTATCTGACATAAGTATATCTGATATAAGTATAGCAACCCATGCTCTCTTTTCGTTTCTATTTGCATGGAGTATCTTTTTCCATTCCTTAAGCCTGTGTGTGTCCCTAAATCTGGTGTTCATCTCTTGTAGGAAGCAACATACAGCAAAAAAAAATTTTTAATTCATTCACTCTCTCTCTGTCTTTTGGTTGGAGAATTTAATCCATTTATATTTATAGTAATTATTGATAGGTAAGGACTTACTAATGCCATCTTATTAATTGTTTTTTGGCTGTTTCCCTGTTCTTTTCTTCCTCCTGTGCTGTGTTCCTTTATGAACTGATTTTTCTGTAGTGGTATGCTTTGACTCCCTTCTCTTTATCTTTCATAGGTTTATTGCTTTGTGTTACACAAAGTTTTGAGGCTTACATAAACTATCGTACAGATATAGCTTATTTTAGTCTGATAACAACTGAATTTTGATCATATACAAAAACTCTACCCTTTTACTTACATCTCCATGTTTTATGTTTTTGATGTCATAATATACCTCTTCTTATGTATGTACCATTAACTAATTATTATAGCTATAGTTATTTTTAGTACTTTTGTCTTTGAACTTTTATACTAGTGTTAAAGGATTTACATACCATCATATTACAGTAGTAGAGTATTTTGAAATTGACTATATATTTACCTTTACTGGTGTGTTTCATACCAGTGTGCATGTCTTTAAACTTCATAAACTAAGCCTTAAGTTTATAGTGTTCAGCTTTTGATTCCTTTCTGTGTGGTTGCTTTACAGTGTTTGAAACCCGTAAAGCTTCAGTTTGCATCATGAGAATCTCAAGGACACACAACCCCAAGTCTGATCCCCCAACTATAAAACAATCTTTCACTTTTGGCCTTGAGCTCATCAGTTTACAACAGTGGACTGGACTCTATGAGCCCCAAAGAATTCTGTGGCATTCAGAACTTGTAAACAGAGAGGGGGTGAGGAGAAGAGGTCACAGGGATCAGGATGTGAGTTGATGAGAGCTTTCCAGTGTTTTTGTTATGGCTGAGTGAGACACACATGTTTCTATAACAACTGAAGTGCGTGGGTGGGAGAAGGGATGGCTGGCACACTCTGGCTGTGGTGGTTTCCCTTTCTTGCTCTTTCTGGTGTGTCAGTGACCTTCTCTGAACAGATAGAGTTAAGTGGTGTTGTTTTCAATTCTGTTTGGGAGTTAGGCTAAAATAGAAATTGATAGTTCATGGGATGTTAAAGCAGGAATTAACACCTCAGGGGTGCCTGGGTGGCTAAATTGGTTAAGCTCAGTTTGTTAAGTCTGCCTTGGGCTCAGGTCATGACCCCAGGGTCCTGGGATTGAGTCCCACGTTGGGCTCCCTGCTCAGCAGGGAGTCTGCTCCCCCCTCTGCCCTTTCCCCCTGCTCATGCTCTCTCACTCTCTATCAAATAAAGAAATAAAATCTTTTTTTTTAAGAAATTAACATCTCAAGAATTATTTTCTTGTTTATAGATGAAGATACTGAAGCTCGGAGAGGTTGTTTTGTTTTATACAGAGTCTCACATCTAGTAAGGGGCAGACTTCAGAGAAAAGCCCAGGTCTTCATTCCTTTCCCCTTCACCTGAGCAAGCACATCTTACCAAGAAGAACTAGAACCATTTCTTACAAGGATTTCGTGATGTACACACAAATCAACATTCAGAAGCCTGATCTGATTTTCCTTTTATGAGTTTTAAATATAGTATAATGGCCATACCAAATAAATCTTCAGATTCCAAACCTGACAATGTCCTTCAGCTCCATTCTCTCTCTTGGATTCCAAGGACATATTTCCATTTTATTGCAAATTGAACATAAGCAGTTTTACTACACAGCCAGCAGTTTAGCAAGATCATTTTAAGTTGCAAACCTCTCCAGTTTTATCTTGAATGAACTTGAGGTTGTAATGTGTGTATAATCCTTTGCAGTGGTTGTTTCACCTGACTTTGAATGGACTGTGGACAGGTCCCTGGTGGTCTCACACTGTAGGTTTATGCCCTGTGTACTGTTTTCATTTCTAGGACCAGATCTTTATGGAAAATGTGGGTGCAGTGAAGCAGCTCTGCAAACTAACCAACAACCTTGAAGAAAGGATTGAAGAGTTAGAAATATGGAACAGAAAGCTGGCCAGGCTAAAGCGACTCAGTAGTTGCAAGTCATCAGCCAGCGAAGCAAGCTCAATCAGGTACATCCCGAAGGGCCATGCGAGTCGTGTTGGGTCAGGAGGAAGTGGGGAGTGGAGCCTTTCCGGAACTGGACCCTAGAACGTGGTCTTTCTGATCCAGCAGCAACCATTACTCTCTGATGATGTAATTACTCTCCTATTCTCTTTATAGAATGTTTTGGAACGCCACTGCCTTCTGTGATAATTTATTTTCTTTCTTTCTTTCTTTCTTTCTTTCTTTCTTTCTTTCTTTCTTTCTTTCTTTCTTTTTTTTCTGTTGCTGCTTTAAAAAAGGAAACAAAACATGAAGTATCTGTTTAAGAGCAAGGTGTTTTAGGAAATGTTACGTTTTAGCAAAGGATGACTTCTCCTTTAAGGAGGAGAGTGGCCCTTTCTAAATTTAGAAAATCATGTTTGGTTCTCAGGGAAAAGACTTCTAGTTTTTTCATTACTTAAGGAGGTAAATGCATATTTCCTGGGGTCTAATTATGAGAAAAAAATAAATGCAAGGTTTAATGCATTCATTTATGCTTACTAAGGATCTTTTCCACAAAAGGAATGCTCAATTGCCTTGACTTTTCCTTTTTAAAATTACCACTGTATTACAGAAAAAAGTCAGACTGCTGTGTTAGTGGCAGCCTGGGCCTTTGTCTTATGACTCCTGGAGGGGCATTTGAATAGTAATTAACATTCTCTCACTCTTTTTTTTTTTTTTTTAGCAAATTTAGCAGAGCGGTTAGTGCCTCCTCTCAGAGAAGGGCTGTCCCCAAAAAAACCAACAAGGTAAATAGACTTAAATTTATATTGAACAGTGATGATGTTTTTCTCTACCAAAAAAAAAAAAGAAGAAGAAGAAGAAGAAAAAGTCTTTAGAGAAATTGATCGAGAATGCTTTTCATTTATTTGTTGACAGACTCCCTAGTTTATCCTTATGCACTTTAGGTATTTTATTTTATTTTTATTTTTTTGAGAGAGAGAGAGAGAGAGAGAGAGAGAGAGCATGAGCGGCAGGTAGAGGGAGAAGCAGACTCCCTGGGGAGTCCAATGTAGGGCTTGATCCCTGGACCCTGAGATCATGACCTGAGCTGAAGGCAGACGCTTAACCGACTGAGCCAGCCAGGCATCCCAACACTTTATTTAGTTATACCACCCCTTTAATAGACACTGTTTTTTTCAAAAAGATGTTTAGAGGAGTGAGTACAGAACAGAATTCATTTCAGAAATACTATCTTGCCAGTTTATACTGTGCACCCTCCCCCCCCAAGTGAAATTCATGAACCACCGCATGCATATGGCCCTTGGCTGCAAGATCTGATGCCTTAACCCAATCTAATTCCTTATCTGTGGCTTCCGAAGATCCCAGAGAGACTTCTTTTAATCCCCAAATCCCTCTTTTCCCTTTGATATTTAGTACTGTTTGTGCAAATGGGGAAATAGGCATTCACTTTCTTGCAGGGGTTAAAGTGTGATGGTTTTATTAATGAATAAAGAGAACTTTCATCCTCAAACTGGGTAACATTTACAGTAAAAAGTGAGGGTTAATCATTTATTGAAGTACAACACCCTCTCCAATGCAGAGAAATGTCAGTGGGGGAGAAGCCGCAATATTCCCTTTCCAGCTGCAATTCAGACAGACAGCTGTGAGACTCCGCTTGTTCCCTGTGAGCCACCAGTATTCCACAGGCGGTCCTTTCCAGGAGAAGACATTCTTTTTTTTGTTTTGTTTTGTTTTGTTTTGTTTTATGATAGTCACAGAGAGAGAGAGAGAGAGGCAGAGACAGAAGCAGGCTCCATGCATCGGGAGCCCCACGTGGGATTCGATCCCGGGTCACCAGGATCACGCCCTGGGCCAAAGGCAGGCGCTAAACCGCTGCGCCACCCAGGGATCCCCCAGGAGAAGACATTCTTGACCTTGTTATGGGCTGACCTGGTGTTTGAGCCATTGCCATATTTATCTCTACTCATGTTATACTGCCTTGACCTATTCTAAAAGGATTCAGAAAGAGTTTAATATTCTACTAACAACTGCTGAAATGTTATGTTGCTGACAAGCTACTGGGTGTGCCAATAAACATAAACCCATGAGTAAATACATATGTAGAAGTGTCTTCGCGCAAGTTGCTTAATTACATTGAGAAATAAAGATAAAAATGGTATCTGCCTTGCACAGATTATTTACAGGATTAAATAAGATGAAGCCCTTATCCACAGTGCCCAGCACACAACAGTCTGCTCAATAAGCACAAACTATTAAAAATATTTTGTAGGAAGGGTACCCTTTGTACTCACCAATTTGCAATGGGAAGGAGGGAATCATCCTCCCACGTCCACGGCGGCCCTGATTGCTGCAATTTGGTCATGTGCAACCTCTGTAGCTCTCACCTGGCACCCAGAGAATCCCTTTATTTTGCAGTTATCTCAGAATATTAACTACAATGTGTGGTTCACGAGAACAGGCCCCATTGTCTGCCTTCCTCACTCTGCATTGCCAGGGACTGGCATATAGTAGGTACTCAAGAAATACTTGTGAAACGAATGCATGAATGGAAAGCCCCGTCTGATACTCTTCCCTAAGTGGTTCAGTGTCTTGGGTATGTGGGTGGGGAAGGGGATTGGGCTGTGGACAGTAGAGGATTTATATTAAGTTCTAAAGAGCACCCATTCAACCTCAGAGACCTCTTAGAGTCACTGTCATAAGCTTGTGGGGGGCAGACAAAGGTGAATAAGACATGCCACCTTCTAAGGCATTTCTAGGTAGCCCGGGAAGATCAGGAGATCAGAGGACAACCTAAAGAACAGTTGTAGCTAGATGTGATGAATATTGCAAAGGCTCAGAGTGCTGCAGGAACGTTAGGGGGCGGGGCCTTCTGGGAGGAGTGAGCTCTGGGTAGGTAGAGGAGGGGTTCCAGAGGGAAGGGCACAAGCAGAGAGCTGGGGGCTGGCACTGGCTTCATTGAAGGATGAGGTGGGAGTTGGTTAGGGAGGAGAGTAGAAGAGAGGACCGAATGGATAGATAGGGCTCAGATATCCTGGACCACCTGTGAAACAGTTCCCTTATGAGCATGAAAACCCTTTGGAATAGTAATAATACTATCTAAGTTGTAGAGTGTTCTCTTGTCTCACAGAGAGAGGGCGGCAACATAGCGCAGTGGTTAGGAGCAGGGATTCTGGAGCCAAATGGTTTTTTTGGTTTCATTCCTGGCTGACTTACTAGCTGTGTGATCCTGGGTAAGGAACTTAGCCTTCATTATTTCCCTTCTCCATAAATCGGGGATGATGACAGTACCTGCCTCACAGGGTTGTCAAGGATTATCACGAGGCTAAACAAATTAGTATATAGCGAGCACTCAGAAGAGAGTAAGGCACAAAGTAAGTGTTTTGTACATGGTCTCTCTTTTTTAATATTATTATTACTAAGTAGGCTCCATGCTTAGCATTAAGCCCAGTGTGGGGCTTCAACTCACAACCTTGAGATTGACCCTTGAGCCGAGATCAAGACTCGGATGCTTAAGCAACTGAGCCACCCAGGTGCCCCAGGTGTTCACTCTTATTAGCATTTTCAAACCCACAACTTGAGTGGTTCTTATACTCTGGCCTGTTATCAGAGGCTTTGGGGGGCTTGTTAGAGTACAAGTAATGCGGATGTTTTGCTTCCCCTGTGCTGTCTCTGCAGGAGGTCTTGGCTATTTCTCTGAAGTTTACTTTCCCTTCCATGACACTAGCCCCTCCATCATCCTTGGGTCACTGAAACATATGTGTGTGAGCAGAGTGTGCTACTCTTGGGTTGGGTGGGCACATCAGTGAGCAAAGTGCTGGCTGTGGGCCTTACCAGATGGTAAGAAACCTGGCCGGGCCTTGCCTCAACTTCCACACAGCCGCCTGTGGTGGCACTTGTCCTGGAAGAAGATTGAGATCTCCTGAGTAGTGCTCTTCCAATCTAGTGTTCCTCTTCCTTCCTTCTCTTTCTCTCCCTTCAAGAGATAGGTGGGTGATCCCTGCTGTATGTTGGTGGTTGGGGTGGGGTGGGAAGGTCTTCAGGCCTTCAAGCAGAATTTGCTAGAAATTCCAATAAATTCCACAGTAATTCTCATGTGGGCCTGAATTTGAGAACCATTGCACTATTAGTTGGACCCATCCAATAACTCTGTTGACGGGTATTATTTTATCATTCCTACTTTATTGATGAGGGAAATGAGGATTAATGGCATTTATTTTTTTAAATTTATTTATTTATGATAGTCACAGAGAGAGAGAGAGAGAGAGGCAGAGACATAGGCAGAGGGAGAAGCAGGCTCCATGCACCGGGAGCCTGATATGGGATTCGATCCCGGGTCTCCAGGATCGCTCCCTGAGCCAAAGGCAGGCGCCAAACCACTGCGCCACCCAGGGATCCCGATTAATGGCATTTAGATGACTTATTTAGGACCTGACTCAAGCCTAACTCCAGGTCTTGGATCATTTCCCCATACTAGGTCAAAGGATTTGAAACAAAAGCATGGAGATTTAAAATAACCCAGCAGCTATGGGGAATAGATTGGAGGGGGAAGCTCTTATCCTGAGACTAATGCTATTTAATTCCAGTCGATTCAACAAATTCATTGAGTCCCTCCTCTGTACAGCACATTATGAGGCCGTCCTCTGAACGCTTCCAGTGCGATGTCAGGATGGTGTGGGCCATTCACTTCTTAGTATCCAGAGTGGCTTCCGGCGCCCTAAGGGTTTGAATATTTGCTAAAAACCTACATGCCTAATCCCACCCTGAGCCCCAATATAACATTGAAGGACATTTTACTTATTCAGAGAACCAGCCCAAGAAATCCAAATAAAGACTGATTTTAAACTATTTCTCAACAACTACCGTCATCCTCCAATTCGCTTCCAACCAAAAGCATGATCCTATCCTGTACCCCACAGGAGGAAGCAAACATAAGACTCCCCCTGTTGTATTAGTAGAAAACCTCCCACCTCAGGGGCACCCTTGTTAAGGTGGGCAGCAAACCACTCCTATGCTTTCAGCGGGATTCATCACCAGTTACCCGGCAGTCTATTCCCTGGTTCCGGGCCCGTTCCTCACATGCAGGTTTTTCGCCCATATGCACCGGTCCTAGAGGTTGGCCTCATTCATTCCGTACCTTACTTATTTTTAGGTTCCCCGTAGTGTTAAACATAGCAGTGCTTAATGAATATTTGTTGACCGGGCATAAGGATCAAGAAGACACAGGCCCAGAACTGTTCTTCAAAATGATTTAAAGAGTACTTAGGATTTCACACAACGAAAGTCTTTCCCATGGTTTGTCATGATGCCTGAAATTCTCCCACTGGGATTTATTCCATCATTTATTCCATCACGTCTCAACGACCTTGTGATATTCAGAGGTGTCGCAGTAAAGGCGATGGACATGTGGGTTCTGGCGGTATCCCGTCTGGCCCTCTGCTCTTGTGAAACTAAATAAAACTAAGATGAGCGTGGGAGCAAGGGCACGGACGCTTGTCCTGCAGGAAGCCGGGGGAAAGGACCAGTGACTGTAGCCTGGAGAGTCAGGAAAGGGAGAGCCGGGCTTTGGGAGAACTTGGTTTTCCGGGGCCGGGCGGGAGGGAGGCGGAGGTTGAAGACAGCACCCAAGCAGCCCTGCTGGGACCCTCCCCGCAGTGAGCACTGCTGGCTCACCTCGCCTCCCAACACCATCTTTTTTTTACAGGTTTGTTTTTCAGGAAAAAAACGGCTGTGTCCTAACTGGGTTTTCCAGACCTTGGTTATAACTCTCATCGCTGTGATGGCATTTTGGTAAGAAAAGCTTCAGTGTTCTGCTATCTCAAGCTCTTTTTTCCTTCCCATTTTCCTTTTCTCACGTATGGACTAGGGACTGACCCAAACGAAGGGCCTTTAACTGGACATTGACCTTGGATTTAGCTTAGAGATAAGCGAACCCCCTGCTTTCTTTTTTAAGATTTTATTTATTATCGGTGGGGGGCGGGGGATGGTGGCAGAGAAGCAGTCTCCTCGCTGAGCAGGGGACCTGATGTGGGGCCTCAGGATCCTGATCTGAGCCAGAGACAGGTGCTTACCGACTCAGCCACCTGGGCGCTCCAGGAGGCCCTTTATACACTCATATTCTAACGAAAAAAGCATGGGCTTTCTGTACCTAAATGTGGCATGAAGGATGATTTTTTTTTTCAATCAACTGATATTTTTTAGTAGCTTACTGGGCCTTGTGTGTGTGTGTGTGTGTGTGTGTGTGTGTATCTTTTTTTTTCAGTGTTATAAATAATTGTCTCAAATTGTTGGTTCTCTTTCCCGTCCATTTGGGGAAAGGAGTAAGAAGGCAGGCAGTCTGGTGCAATCTGTGCTCCCCTGGACACGCCTGATTGTTAGGATTCTTCTAGATTCCTCAGTGAAGACTTCCCAGCAAAGGGCCTACGAGAGAACCCCAGGGTATACGGTATATTGAAACTGCAGCCGGATGTGCTAAGCAGCTGAGGCCCGCAGACACAGGACAGAGGGTTTGCTGTGCAAGCAGCGGGCACTTGCCCCCGTCCGCGTCTGTGGAGCGAAGGGAACCAGGCCTCCCTGGGGGGCAGGGCCTTCCTGGGGCTCCGGGGACCTGGGTCCTCTGGGTCTCCCTGTCCGTAGCCTGTTGGCCTGGCCAGAGGGCTGTTTGTCTCTCTCTCTCCCAAAAATGTTTTGCAAGTGTGGAAAAGGGCTGCCAGGCCTGGTCTTGAGGGAGATGCTTGCTCTTGGGGCCCAGTGAGGGATGGGGCCAGGGTGCTTGTGGCTGCTGGCCGCCGGCTTCCTGGCTCTGGAGGCTCGTGGGTCTCTGCCCCCCCTGCCCCCTGGGGTGCGAGGCCCTGGGGACCCGCTGCCTTCTCCTCCGTCTCCCCAGCGAGCTGCCCTGCACTGGGATTCGAGCACCCCAAGAGGTCTCTCGGGGCCAGAAGCAGAATTTGCCCCCAAGGAGAGGAGCTGATGTCCCCTTCCTGCACGGTTCTGGAAGTTCTGGGGGTCGTGCGTGGACGTGAATGCCGGAGACGACTTAGAGCGAGCACCTGAGGGAACGGGGGGCAGGGTGGGGGGCCCAGGAGCCCGAGTGGCAGCAGGCGGCAGGTGGGGTCCATGTGACGGCGTCTCTGGGGCTCAGCAGCACTGCGCCTGGACGGGGAGCACAGCAACCAGCCGAGAACTCTCTGCAGAATTTCTTCTTCATGGTTGGAATTCAGAAGTGCCGCATGTTCCCTGGCGTCTATTTGATAGTAGTCACCCCAGGCCCTTGGAGGGCATGATGGGGTGGGGAGCCACGCCTGGGGCCGTGGGTGTGAGGCCAGGCTGGCCGGACGTGGGGTCGGGCCACCCTGCGGTCCACTGTCAGGGCGCCCCTGCTCCAGGGAACGTCTGGGGGCGCAGCACTGTGGGGTGTGGCCTCCCAAAGCCCAGAGCCTTTGGGCAAACCTGCTGCTTGCGTGTCTGCGACCTGCTGGTGGAGGGAAAGGGCGCGCCCCCCCCCTTGCGGTCACGGTGGCCTCCTCTCCCCGGCCTGAAAAGGCAGGTGGCCGGCCAGGTCAGAGGGGCCCAGGGGAGGCCCCCCCAGGGGCCCAGGGCCTCCTCCTCTAGCCTCCCTGAGGCAGCGGCCCAGGCCCAGGGGGCTGCTCTCTGGAAACATCCACCAGCGCCGAGGAGCCAGGGCCTCTGGGCCCCAGGATGCCGAGGGCTTGCTCGCCCCAGGCCGGCGGCTCCGTGGTGCCCCAGTGGCCCTGTGGCCCGTCAGGGGGGACCTGTGGCTGCCGGCTGTAGGGGGGGAACGCGTGTGAGCTCAAATCTGTCACCTAAGGCTTCCTTCTCATGTTGTTTTCTGTTTCCTTTTTTAAACAGCGCCCTGACGATAGTCTCCCTTTACATACTTAGCTTAAAAGATCAAAACCGACGTGCCCCAAACCTCCCCCTGAGGTGAGAGTGTTGGGCTGCTTTTCCTTGGGGGAGAAGGACTCTTGAAGGCCTCCTTCGTTAATCGGTTTGCTCTCTTCCCCCAGCAACAGCACCAGCTCTTGGGAGCCGGCCCCACCGCCCACAGCCTCCCCCTCAGGTAGGACTTTCACATTCCTCACCCCCAAACCCAGCCTGGTTCAGGGGAATTGTCAACAGAAGAACCAGCCTTTCAGGTTAACCTTGTCGTCTCCCTCCCCCTCCGCCCAATGCTCTGCAGCACCTCCTCCAGCCCTGGTGACCACACAGGCCTCCCTCCAAGTCCCAGAAATCACTTTCTGTGAGGTCCTGCCCTGTCGGGAGACCTACTGCTGCCCCATCTGGGGAAAGAGAAGAGTCCCCTCAAGTCCCGTGCGGAGGTGGTCCCAGGAGGAGGACACCCATCGGGGGCCGTGGGCAGGTAAAGGATGTTCAAAGAGAAGCAACTGTGGGGACTCTGCACCCGAGGTGTTTTTCTTTGCAAATATTTACTTGCATAATCTGTTCATGGTTCCAGACAGTGGTTCTACTTGGGGTGGCAAGATCCTCCCCAACACAAGTGTGCAAGCTTGCCGTCTCTGTAATCGTGAGTTCCCTGCCCGGGGATGAAATTGTGGTTGATGCAAGGGGAAAGGGCTCATTTGTCCATGGCCAACAAAGACAGTCATAGTAGAACATGTCAAGTAATCCTGGGTGGGTTGCGTAGATTTTCTGGCTCAGTTAGAACTTATAAAATGATGTCGTATCTGGGCTTCCTGCCCAAACCAAGTAGGGCAAAATGCAAAAGGCTTTAGAACTCTAATGAGTTCAGGGTAAGCTGCGAGTCAGTGAAAATCACAACCACTTTCAGAATATCCGCTTCTTCCTCCTGGGGAGAAACACACACACACACACACACACACACACACACGGAATTTTTTAAGTAACAGATTTCTCATGTTAAAAAAAATTATGGAGACTTGATCAAGGGCTAAAAGCATAGTTATCTCTGTAAAAATATATATAACACATCCAAATGTATCCTAACTCGTTGTTGATTGAACCTCTGCACACACACAAGCGTATAGACTAATGATGACAATAATAGCAACACACGCAGGTTAGGGTGGCTTATGTATTCAGATACCGTGGCAACAACAACTCCCCAATTACAGTGGCTCACTGTGGCCAAAATTTATTTCTGACTCTGTATGTCAAATGTGGATCAAAAGAGGGCTCTCGCTCATGGTGTCATTTAGAACCCAACTAATGGAGACTCCATCTCAACACGTATTTCTACAGTCTCTGTAACAGTGATAAGAACACGGCTCTCAAAGCTGCCACTGAGGCGTACCACATGTCCTCTGCTTACACTTTATCGGCCAAAGCAGGTGACATTGGTCACATCTGACTTAGAACGAGTTGATAAAGTGCAGACCTAACATGTGCCTAGAAGAACCAGAATATTTTGAGCAGTCCAAGTGATGGACATGGAAAATATGGTCAGTGGTTGAAGTTTGGGGGGCAGCAATGTGATTTCCTTTTCCTTTTGATATTGTTCCATACCCTAGAGATGAATAAATAACTTTTACAAATCGTCATCATCACTGTCGTCATCATCACGTAAGGAGCCATTACCGCATACAGAGGCACTGCCGTAAGTGACCTACGTGAACCTCCGTGAATAAACCATTCGAGCCTCACAAGCCTAAAAGATAGGCATCTCCATTCTTTCTAATGAGGGGTGAGGCATAGAGAATTGTTCCCTGCCCCTGTAGGAGACGACGCTTGCACTGTTTTTCTCATGAAAGCAACTTTTGATTGAACTTGGGAACAGGTGCATCAGCACAGGACAGAGATAAAGCTTCAATGTGAAGAAAGGAATCTGTTTCAGTCATCAAATTCTCAGTAGTCTCAAATATGGAAAAGTCCAGCACTGTTACAGAAATCCCCCCAGGCCTTCATCTCGTATGAAAGCACACGGATCCCTGTGGCTGGTAAACCTTTTTCTTGCCTTGGGAGTCCACCTTGGGTGTACTTGGTGGCCTTTTCGGAGAGCAATCCTCAGAAGAGACCATCTCACCTATGAGGATGTGTAACAATGGATCCTATACAGGAAGAGGTCATGGACTGATCCAATCTTCATTTCCAAAAATGTTCTTGACCCTTGAGCGAACTCATTCCTATAGCACCCAGCTCTTTACATCGAGGGAAGGTTTATTGCTGTCTTCTCTGGGACGTGGGGTGCCAGCCTCTCAGTATGGGAGCCACTAAAGAGACTTCTAGAGAAGGAAGGGCTTCTCCATAGCACCTGTCTGTGTCCTCCTAGACGCAATTATCAGCTTCTCTGGCTAATGGGGAAATTTAAATCCAGCCTTACCAGGCTCCCCAAGATCTGGGAAGAGTTGTTCCTCTTCCCTCTTTTAGATGAAGAAAGATGGAAAGGATTTAAATGTTCTCTTCACTCTCATCTTCTGGAAACTTGCAAACTTTGGGGGATTTAGAGTCTCATGGAATGTCAGAGAGCAGCATACCAGTGGCATCCTAACTTATTGACCCCTGGAAGCTACTATTAATTTGTTATTCTTTTACAATTATTTGACTGAGAAAATACCTAGAGGGAGAATGTTACTCTAAACTCAGGTAAGCTTTTAGTCAAGTTATTTTTGTTAATCCTACAGCAACATTTGAAGAACAGTACAAACCTGTGGGAGAGTTGTTACAAGTCCACAGACACCAATGAACACTTTGTGCAATCGCTTGGGGTTCCAAGGTATCCCCAGGTCAGGAAAACCTCTATTTTCCAGCTGATAAAGTGGAGGCCCGGGACTCTGCTTAAGGTTCTAGAGTAAGTTACTAGAGAGGTTGGAACTGGAAGCTGAGTCCCCTGTCTTCCTGTCCTGGGTTCCTACCCATCTGCCATCATGCCGCCATTTATTTGGACATGGTGTGTACATGCTCTAGAGGAAGCAGAAGGTATTCACACTATGGTTCTAGAAAGCCCCTTCGCCTCTCCCTACCCCAAGTTTGCCTTAGAGCCATTGAGCTATCCCTGATGTGGGGTATTTCTGGGGTGTAAAGAAAGCCTCTTCTCTTCTGCTGCTAGTCCCTCCTTCCCTTTGTCCTATAGGACACTTGGATTCCTAAATCTGAAAGTGGAGAAAGCCAGGCAAGGTCTTTCAACCAGACATTTCTGAGGCAGTGACGACTAATTAAAAATTAAAGAATAATAAATAAAAAAAGAAATTCAAGAGTTAAGAAAGAAACCAAGTTGAAAGAACTCTCTAGGATGAAGAGTGCTATCTAGCACTTTACCAAGCCCCAGAACAGACTTATTGGCTCCTTCCCTAAGGAGAAAGACCACGAGTAAAATAGGGAAGGGAAATGAGTATTTTTATGCTATGCTGAGCGCAAGCCATCATTCTTCTTTTGGGCCCAAGCTGATTGTGTAAAATGCCTTTCAGAAGGTTTATCCCCTCTCCTCACTTAATATAAAAGGTTTGGGTAAGAGGTGGAGAATGGGTGTTTTGGAATATTGAGCTTCTGTTCTGAGGAGCCAACTGAGTGTGATGGATTAGATTTTAATCTATGGAACCAATAAAGATGCAAACAGACGGAGTTAGATATAAGAAGTGAAGAGCTTGTGAGGGGGAAAGAAATCTAAGGAATTCTACAGATGTTAAGAATTTTGGTAAAGATTTTTTAAAAATCTCAGGAAACTAAAAGGCGTGGAAATTTGTGCTTATTTTGTCTGGAAGATCAGAACTCTGAGAAGAGCAAATGGCCGAAATAAACTGACTCCCCGTGTACAAGGACACAGTCATCAATTGGTTGGGCTCATTGACTTTTTCTTGGCATGAGTCTGGTTCAATCGGGAAAGAAAAAGGTATCCAAGATGCTTGGAACTCAGCCACACCGCCCAATTTTATGAGTAAGGCTATATACACAGTCTACCACAACAGGATATGCTTTGGTTGGACACCATCTTAAATCTCTCCTCTCCAGAAGTTTCTAATTTAGTTTATTGGGAGATCTTTTCCGCTGATTGCAAAATATATCTCCAACATCACAGTAAAAACCGCTGAGGGTGTATATTAAGTTTACAGTGAATATTACTGAAAGGCATTTGTAAAATGAGAGCCACCCCTGCTTGACTACAGGAGAATTTATGGTTTTCCAATAACCAGCCTTTCAGCGTTGCCTAGTCTTGCCTCAGAGAAGGGACAAATTGGAGATGGTTTTATAGGAGACTTAAAATGTATTTCCAATCCTGCTTTTGAAAAGCCACTTTCATAACTCTAATCCTCAGGATTATGTCTCCTCAACTTTACCTTTTTATTACTGTTTTTAAAAATACCGTTATCCCATCAGATACTAAATCCTATTGTAGGATTCTGTGTCTCCAGGAACCCGAAAACATGCTTCCGTGGAAGTGAGGCAATGCTGTAGTTCTGTTGCTAAAATTGATAATGAGCCCTGTGCCTGAGAATTCAGTGGGAAAGTAGCAAAAAAGATAAGGGATGGAAACAGATAGGATGGAGAAGTTCTGGTTTCCGCTTCTTTTTGTGCCTCATTTGCCCTATAAATTCACAACCTTCTGTCAAAGCAGTCATAAGCGACATTCCCAGCAGAGGACCTGTGCTTGACAGGTGCTTATTGGAATAGCTGGCATCCAGGAAATCTCGAGGCCTTTTAGACAGCACATATATTTCTATCTAAAGGGAAATATATATTCAATCTTCTAGAAAATCCTCATGGGTCAAGACCCATTTCTTTTTAATGAAAAGGATCAAGATGCTCAGGAGACCTGCCTCTCCTTCAAAGCCTGCCTCACTCCCCTTTGCCTCGAAGGTGAAGGAGCTCCGGTTTCCATGTGTACCCCCCCCCAGCATCCCTCGGCACCCATCCCCTGACAATTTCCCCTTCGAGCGTGCAAAAGGAAACAGTTTTCTAGAGGGTATATGATTGGCCTCTCTTCCTTCCATCCTCCCCCAAATATTTGCTGAGCACTTGCAGAGAGCCCAGCATTGCCTTGTCTGGGGCCATGGCCGTGCACAAATGTGCACGCGGGCTTCTAGAAGCTCACAGTCAGTTTTGTGCACAGGTAAACAAGCCTGTGTGCCTCGTGTGAGAAGTACTAACCAGGGCAGATCTACTTAGGAGTGATGGTACCAAAGTAGCGTGCACCCTTGTGTGTGCTTTCTATCCGGAAATTGCACATAGAAGCTTGAGTAGGAACTTGTTTCTGATCTTGCCTCCCTTTTCTTCCTATGAAAGGAGCACACACTGTGTTAACTTATGTCTCTTGTTAACTGAGGTTCCTGGCTTTATGTTTTGCCCCAAACTATGTTGAGAAATATAAACATATTATGTAATGCAAATGGAGGAATATGATAAACAGTACACGTACTTGGGGGAAAAATCAGCAAATTAAAAAAAGTGACTGCAAAACCATTAAAACTCTTTTTAAAGACTTGTTTAGCAGCCCACTAAATAATTGCGTTCGCTATTTACTCTAAGAATATGGTCCCCACCCCACCCCCAAAGCCTTAACAACAATCATCTGAATAGTTACCCTTCCAAAACTGCTTTTTTTTTTTTTTTCCAAAACTGCTTTTTTAAAATGCCTTTTCAGCTATGACAGGCAAAACCACTCCCGGACTTCCCTCCCCACAAGCCAGTTCTGGCCCCTAACCAGTGACCTGACTCTTCTCAGCTGCAGCGGGGTCCCTACCTTGAGCTTTGAGCTCTTTTTTCCTTTGCAGATCACATTATACCAGGAGTTACTCAGGAATCAGAGAATTTTAATAGAGGCTCCCTATTCTGGAGCTGTCAAGAAAGGACAAAAATGCGCACAAGTTAAGTGACAAAACAGAGATGACATGCTTTTGATGGGGCGAAAGATAGGTCACTAGCTGATCACCCCGCAAATGGCCCGGGGTGAGGCTGTGGCATCAGGAAGGAGCGGGCCGTGGGCTGCATGGATCCGACCTGGCTGCCGTAACAAGGTACCACAGACGGGGCAACTCAAGCAGCAACATTTATCTTCTCACAGTTTTGGAGGCCAGAAGTCCACAATCAGGGTGTTGGCAGGCCTGGTTCCTTCTGAGGCCTCCCTCCTGGACTCACAGATGGCCGCCTCGGTGCTGCGTCCTTCCAAGATCTTCCCCCCGGGAGCCTCTTCTTCCAGGCAGGGACACCAGTCAGACTGGATTAGGGCCCAGTGTAACAGCTTCATTTTAACCTAATTGCCTCTTGAAAGGCCCTATTTCCAAAATCTGAGGGGTTGGAGCTTCAACGAGTTTGAAGAACACAAGGTAGCCCCAAACAGCTGGCTTCTTGGAAGAGGGTGAGAACATACTAGATCTGCAAGGAGTGGGGTAGGGATTGGATGGGTGAAAGGTGGGAGAGAGAAAGGGTGGGGAAACATGGAACTGAAGAGACAAAGGGGCGTCTACTGGATATCTTCTCATCCTGACCCACCAAGCCTTTAAGATTGACAGACATTTTCCCTCTTCAGAAGACAGAAGCTTGTCCTTCCTGGCAGGAGATGTGCTAACCAGCCCTGACTGGGGGAGTGACTGCAAATTCACATTTAAGTGACCCTCCTTTGGCTTCGTAGAGCCAGGCCGAGTAGCAACCAGCTGCATCAGCCTTCCCCAGGGACGCTCTCTAGCCAATGTCAGGCGTGAGAGGTGGTCGCTCACCACCAGACAAGTGGAGATTGATCCCCATGGATTTTAATTATTTATTTGAATTTCCTGCCTTCTTCTCCTATTCTGATGGTACTTTTAGTTTATTTTCTGTTTTCTGAGTTTTTTTTTTAAAGCTTTTTTCTTGGCCAGATTGCATTTCACATTGCACCCTCCCTTTTCAATAAATGTCAATCTAGTAGGGCTTCCAAAAGAAATTCTTTTGTTTGTTATCAGATGTTATCTATTATCAGAAACTGGATTTTTAGGAGTTTTCTTAAAATTTACTCTAACTACAACAACAAAAGCCTTCTTCCCTCCCTTCCCCTTCTTTTTTCCATTTGAATGCAAATGGAACCCATTAATCTAGGAAACTCTCATTTCACATCCAGTAATTTGGAGTTTTGCTGGAGCAGGATACCCTTTTCCTCTGCAGAAGGGTTTACTTTCTTTTCTCTATTTCTTCTCAATTCAGAGATTGATACAACCATTAGTTCTATTCAGATTGTGGAGATCCAGCAAGTAATAGATCATCGGTATTGTGGTGGAGGCTTCCAGTGCAGGTGGGTAAGCCTCCCCATCCTACCCTGATTGTTTCTGGGATTTACTCAGGGCTCTGGGTTTCTGAGACTGGAATGAAAGCCAAAACTACATGGTAAAAGTCAATGCGTGCATACACTGCTCTGTAAGTGAAAACACATTTGTTACATGGTAGACGAGGGAATCATAAAATGGTTGGTATTAGCGAATGTCAATAAACCATGGCTCCAGTGATGCCAGTCTCTTGTTTTTAATGGGGACGTCCAAAGCAAAAAGCTTAGGGGGACTCTCCAAGGACACATTCCATGAGCACAGGGGCTGTCGGTTAATTTTATAGACAAGAAAGACGTTGTTACTGATGGCTCCACGTAATGAATGAGCTGATGTTTATACATTTTAATAACGAGAAATATTATTATCTCAATTGCTAAGTAATAAAGCTTATCGTGGTTTTTCCAGGCAGGAGAAAAAACATCCAGATATTGCAAAAGTTATCAGCAACCGCCATGTCCATGGTGAGCCATCCGGTCATGGTGCATTTAGAAGCATAGCCTACAAGTAGCCTCAGCTAGCTGGCCCAAAATGCAAGTTGAAGGCAGTAAGAGTGGTGACCTATTTTTCTTTCATCAATGAATATTTACGGGGTGACTGTTAGGTGAAAGGCAAGGCCCTGTACCGTGGACTGGTATCCCAAATTCTTGGGATTCTCAGCCTTATTTCTTTTTTCAACCTGATGACTCTGAGCTTTAACTGTGTGGTACTTTATGATTTGTTTATGGCTTTGACATTCATCATCTCATTGGATTCTCCCCAAATCCCTGTGAGGTTGGGATTGTTGATCCCGTCCTGCCATGAAGGAACCTGACCTTCAGCGAGTTTAACCAACTGGGAGACCGATGTTAATTACTGTGCTAGGGTGACATGATGAAGAAGGGTGGGATGATTTGGTTTCCAATTCCAGAACTTCGACAAGGTGTTAATTCCCCCTGAGTGTCCATGTCTCACCTGTGGGATGAGGCTACTGAGTTGCGTTGCCCTGAAGTATGCAGATGCTGGCGGGGGGCACTGGTAGGAAGTGAATTCCATTTATCTCAGCTTTTTCCAGTAGAACAAGGCTCTTCTGATCCCAGTTCAGATCCATTTCTTTTACTTCTGCTTTCTCATTTTAACAACTCATTTTAGGAATTTTTTCTTTTTTTTTTTAATTTTATATATTTATTCATGAGAGATACAGAGAGGCAGAGACATAGGCAGAGGGAGAAGCAGGCTCTCCGTAGGATCACAACCTGAGCCCAAGGTAGAGGCTCAACCACTGAGCCACTCAGGAGTCCCCATTTTAGGATTTTTTCAAGAGAATCTAAAATGATTAACTTTTCTCCCAGTGTATCTGGTTTTAAGCTGTTTCTCCATGGAATTCGAGGTGTGGCCAGGTCAGAAGAATCTGTGTTAGATTCAATATGCTTTTCTGCTGGAGTTTTCATTACAGTATGAATCCCAGGAAGTCCCCCTTTGCCCCAGTAGCTCCCTTTTTGGGGGGATGTGGGGGGCGGAGTGCCTGCAGAAGCACTTCCCTGCTACAGTTCTCTCCAATACAAAATGGTAATTAGGACTATCAAAATGTTAGTTGATTCAAGTTCTGAAAGTGCATGATATTTCCTGCTAATGTTGCCTATGAGGGAGCGATTCAGGGTAGAGGAGCTGGTATTTATTATCTTCAGTCTTCCTTTCCAGAGGGAAAATGCTGGTTTGAGGCCTTTGCCTCATTTTCTCCTGAAATCCATGTCTCCTTAATGGGGACCAGAGTGGTTTTCTGTGCACTCAGTGGTATGCATTTGGTCTGGGATTTGGCTTTCCCTCATTTCACCTGTGTGTTCTGACAAACCATAAATCTTTGTGGTACAGTTTATATATTAACACCTACAAGAGATCCCTTTGAAATTTGACAGGTACGTCTCTGAAAAGCACAGAACTCTACGTGCTAAATTTGTTTTCCTGTGTTTGTTATAGAATATTTCACAGCTTGTGTGTAATGAGTAACAAAAGTCTTTTGAAGCCTTTCCTATGTATTTTGATTTGTGGTTTTATTTTTTTTTTCCATAATTAGCCCTGGGAATTACAGTTACAATATTCCTGTTAATAAGCACACACCTACCAATGTCAAATTCTCTCTGGAAATCAAGTAAGTGCCTAACTGCAGAGAACAATTCTGCTTCTGTCATTATTTGAATAGCAAGGCTCTGACCTTACCTCACAGTTTGGTCACTAAGAGGGTGGGAAGTTAGCAGTCCCCATAGGCTGATGCTGGCTGGGGTGGGAGGAGGGCCAGCTTGAGGGAAGAGTCTTCAAAAGGATGGTCCGAGTCCTCCAGCCTCCCTCCGTGGAATGGAAAGGCTTCTTCTAGGCTTCACATTCACCTGTGAGATGGGGGTGATCTTGGGTTTGACGCTCACCAGCTCCAGGATACCCCTGAATGTGTCCCTTTGAATTGGGGTGGGAGCAAGAGGAATAGCATACCCCCTAGGGCGGGGGGAAACCTGCCCATTTTCCTGAGCTCCTGGTAGCAGTGCTAATGCAGACACCACCCCCTCTCCCCAGGGGAGTTCACAGAGTCAGAGTTTGGAGTTGGGGAGACCAAGGTTCAAATTTTGTCTCTGCCACTTACTAATCTTATAACCTTTTGGAGAAACCACTTCTCCTCTCTGAGCTCTTTTTAATCTATAAAATGAGTTTGAACTAATACCATAAGAAGTAGAGCTGCTGTGGGAAATCACTTGCTAATAGTGAAACCCGTAACTACCATTTGCTGCACACAGAGCATATGCCAGACACTCTCCACTTTAATAGCAGATCGTATAATCCTCACAATAACCCCCCGAGTTTGATTTTTCTTTTCTAGTTTATATTTTTCAGATGGGAACACTTAGTAGGTTTGGAGAGATCCAATACACTTGTCCCAAAACTCACAGCTAGCAAGCCGTAGAGCTGGGTTTCAAGCTCGGCCCATCCTTTATACTGTCACTCTCCGGTCTTCCTGATGAAATGAGAGATGTAAGAACATTGCCCCTTCCCGACACATAGTAGGTGCTTCATAAATGGCAGCTTTTATTACGACTACCTTTCCCTCAAGATCGCAAAGCTCTAATTTAATCTATTCTTACCAAATATTTAAAATGATTACAGTACTTTAAGACTTGGACCCATAAAATATTTTTTTAAAAGGTGCAGGGGGGGGATCCCTGGGTGGCTCAGCAGTTTGGCGCCTGCTTTTGGCCCAGGGCGCGATCCTGGAGTCCAGGGATCGAGTCCCACATTGGGTTCCTGGCATGGAGCCTGCTTCTCCCTCTGCCTGGGTCTCTGCCTCTCTCTCTCTCTCTCTCTCTATCTCTCTCTTTCTGTCTATCATGAATAAATAAATAAAATATTAAAAAAAAAGACTTGGACCCACTTCACTCAAATTATGCAGTGAGCTACTCACTGGGGTGATAGATGGGTTTTATTTTGTGTCTCTTGATTGTAGTCTCTCTTTTTCTCCCCCTGCACTTTTCCTCTCTTCTCCCAGTTTGCTTCTTGCTCTCTCTCCTTTTCCTCTGTCCTCTGCTCGCCCCTCTGCTTCCCCGCTCTGGCATTCCTCCCCCATCTGTTTCTGCTGCTCTGTCCCTTCCTCTGTTTCACTCAGGCTTCATACTCCTCCTCTCATCGACTTTGCTTCTACGATGAGTTAATGACACTCAACCCAACTGCTTGCCTCGGAAAGGTTTGTTTCAAGCAGCAAGTATTTCATGACTCGAAACTCATCATGCTTCATGCAGAGCAAGAGCCAAATGGACTATCTTCTAGCATCCCTGAGTAGCCTGGAGTGGCGTTTCCTCATTCATTCCTAGCTTTGGTGAGGGAAATAAGCTGAAATGGGGTATCCCCTGAAATGGCAAAAGACCATTAGGAGCCACTACATCAGGCTTTTTAGCTTAAGAACCATTTTTCTAATATGGGTGATTTAAAAATAACACACATACTCAACTGAGATTGTAAGTTGTCCCACTTGTGCAAAAGGATCATTTCCAAAGACAGATGGATCTCATCCTCTTGATGATAATTAATGGGCTGCCCTCCAGAGGAGAATCATTCTTTCGGGCAGGCCTTCCACTCTGAGAGCCGTGATGGTAGGTAAATTCGAACGGGGCTCACCCCCAGATCCCTTCCCGTTTGTTTACCTTGCTGCTTCCAACAGGATGTACTCAGATCAGGGGTTTGTAGAATCTGAAATCCTGGAAACTTCAGGTAGATGCAAGTTCAGTTGCCCATGAAAAGAAGAGGGATATCTCCAAAAATGATTTTATATATTTATTTATAAAATAGATATGATCTATTTATTTAGAGAGAGAGCACAAGCAGGAGGAGGGGCAGAGGGAGAGGGAGAGAGAGAATCTCAAGCGGACTGCTTGCTAAGCAAGGAGCCCGATGATGCGGAGCTTGATCTCACAACCCTGAGATCATGACCTGAGCTCAAACCAAGTGTTGGACACTCAACTGATTGAGTCACCCAGGTGCCCCCAAAATGATTTTTTTTAAATTTTTATTTATTTATGATAGTCACACAGAGAGAGAGAGAGAAGAGAGAGAGAGAGAGGCAGAGACACAGGCAGAGGGAGAAGCAGGCTCCATGCACCAGGAGCCCGACGTGGGATTCGATCCCGGGTCTCCAGGATCGCGCCCTGGGCCAAAGGCAGGCGCCAAACTGCTGCGCCACCCAGGGATCCCCCCCAAAATGATTTTAAGATCTACGGTGATAGGAACTTCCGTTGCCGGGATGATTTCAGTCATGAGATTGTCTTAGAGACCGTCATATGCTACCTCAGGTTGTTTTGATCAGTTCAGGCTCTGTAACAAAAACACCATAGACTGAGCGCCTCCACAGACGTTTACTTTCCAACGTTCTGGATGTTGGGAAGTCCCACATGGGGGTACTGGCAGATTTGGTGTCTGGTGAGGGCCTGCTTCCTGTGTCACAGAAGGCCATCTTCTCACTGTGTCTACCTGGCACAGGAACAAGAGAGCACTGAGGTCCTTGGTAGAAGAGTCGTTATCCCACTCAAGAGAGCTCCGCGTCAAGCACTGCCCATAGGCCCTAGCTCCCAACACATCACATCGGAGGTTGGGATTTTAGCATATGACTTCGGAGGAGGGGATCACGAACACTGAGTCTGTAACAGTAACCTCCTGAGACTGAGTTCCTTGCTGGAACAAGGAGGTGGGAACGGGGATGCTGGCATCCATGAGCCTTGTGGCATAAGACGCCTACGTGAAACTGAATGGGTTTCCAAGTTACCGTCCCATTCGTACCTCTTTTTAGCAAAGTGTAGCCCAGTGGTGCTGGTAACTGCTTTCCCTTTGCCCTTTCTGCCCTTTGTCTCTTGAAGCACAACAGAGCCACTGATAGTCTTCCAGTGCAAGTTCACCCTTGGAAATCTATGTTTCCATGGTCAGAGGGGAGCCAGAGGGACACAGAGCCGCCAAGAGGTCTCCCAGGAGATGACACAGGTAATGTTTTCCAACCCCTGGTCCCGAAGAAGTGTGTCTAGAGTTGTGGCTCAGCCTCTGTTGCCTACAGAGGGATGCCATGAGGCACGTGCTCTCCCCTTGCTGGCTGATCCTCGTCACGGGGCTTGGCTTGCTGTCTCCCGCGTGTCCTTCTGAGGCCGCAGACTGTTTTAGCAACTCTGCTCAGAAGCTGTTGCCCCAGATACCTTTCCTGGGGGAGTCAAGGAGATGCTTTCTCAGGCTATGTTCTTTCCAATGGAGTGTAAAATGTGGTTATGAAATGGATCTCTCTGTCATTCATTATTTAGGGCTATCAGCACATTTGGAGCCTCCCCGTAGCCCCATTCTTTGATAGCATGTACCATTTCCGTGTAGCTGCACCGGTAAGCTTGCTTTTTTTTTTTTTTTTTTTTTTGCCTTTTTCTTTCCAGGGAGAAAGAAATAGACGTTCAATCAATCGATCAATTACTTTGGCTAATTCTTATATTAATCATTCTTTTTTTCTTCTGTTCTCACAGGATTTAGCTGACTGTTCCACGGATCCTTATTTTGCTGGGATATTCTTTACAGATTACTTCTTTTACTTCTACCGGCACTGTGTCTAATTTATTCAAGTTTGGTTGAGGACTTCACCAAAGGAAAATACTCAGAAATACAGGCAACAGAGGCATCACCTCTTGCAATTTCTTTCTTCTCTTTGTAAAATATTCACGTTTCTTGCCATAGGACTTTTTCAGGCTTCGGCTCCCAGCAGTTTTGAGCCATTAATGAGGAGAATAAAGTGTTTGCTGCAGCTTGAGATAATGTGGTCTTTGATTTTACCGTGATTAGGAGAAAAACATTTCTTGTTGTCAACAGCACTGTTGGGCTTAAAAATACTGCTTCTGGTATTAAGGAATCTATGAGGTCAAAGAGGCAGGTCAAACTTTATCTGTCTTATGTGTTTCTCACTGTAGCTTTTGAGAAAAAATAAAAAGGTCCACCTCAGCCATGTCAGCTTGGATCCACTCAACACAGACTCTCGAGCGTGTGATACGGGCTGCGTTAAGGGGGACGGATGAGCGGTGTCTGATAGCTGAGCTCACATTGACACAAACTATTGCTATGTGTTCGTGGAAGACAAGGAGTGGATGGGAGGGAGGGAGAGAAAACAATATACACTGGAGTACAGAGCATAGCTTGCTAATGAATTGGATTTAGGAGAAATAGTTGCAAGTATATCCTGTAAGGCTTGATGGGCACTAAGTTTTCTTAGTGAAGCACTAACTTGTGACAAGTCTTTTAAGATAACCAAATACTCTAGGCCCGGATAGTTGCATTTAATCTTGCAGTTGTCATCGTTTTTGTTTTTTGTTTTGTTTTTCCTGTATATATGCAGGGCTTCTCTCATAGAGCATTAGTACCCATCTCCGTGGCTTACAGCTGAATTAGCTTTTGGATACTTCTGTCTGGCGTGTGAGTACATTTGTATGCCTTCCCCAACTTAGAGCAGCCAGATATCCTCCAGCTGGAGGCTATCAACCATGCCTTTTCTCTTCTGTATTCTGATGTTTTGACATTTTGGGGTCATGCGGACCCTAGTGGGACTCTACCTCCTAGGGTCAGCCAATTCCTAGAGATAGCAAACGACTTGCCCATGAGGGCTTTTCACATACAAACCAACCAATTCAGAGTCCACACTGCAACCCGCCTCCTTTATCAGGCTCTCACACCCTGCCCACCCTACCCACATCAGGGCCAGGTACCAGACAACTGGGCACAGCTCCTATATCCCAGAGCCTGCTGGAATTATTCAAATGAGCCAATCCCAAGCCTGTTCACCCTGCCTCACCTGTTTCTTCTGATAGAAACCACATTAAAGGGTGCCTGAGTGGCTCAGTTGGCTCAGTGTCTGCCTTTGGCTCAGGTCATGATCCCAGGGTCCTGGGATGGAGCCCTGCATTCAGCTTCCTGCTTGGTGGGGCGTCAGCTTCTCCCTCTGACTGCCACTTCCCCTGCTTGGGCTCTTTCTCTCTGTCAAGTGAATAAAATTCTTAAAAGAAAAAAAAAGTGAAGGCTCTTGCCCGAGCTCGTTCCTCTTCATCTGCTTCCCAACTGACCCTGGTGCCCCCCAACATGCGGCATATCCCCTTCTCTTGGGAACTGTAACAAACTATCTTTACAGTGGTAATCCTTGGCCATTCATATACCTCAAATTTTCTATTAATACACTGTATTTAGGACCTGGAGATTTGAGCCATTCCACTCTAGCTCCAGGTGACAAGGCTGAGGATCCAAACAGCCTGTGTCTTGAGTTCAAATCCTCACTTTATCTGTGTAACCTCAGGCAGGATACTTCTCAAAGTTTTAATTTCCTCTTTTTTTTTTTAAGATTTTATTTATTTATTCATGAGAGACACAGAGAGAGGCAGAGACACAGGCAGAGGGAGAAGCAGGCTCCATGCAGGGAGCCTGATGTGGGACTCGATCCTGGGACCCCGGAGTCACGACCTGAGCCAAAGGCAGATGCTCAACCGCTGAGCCATCCAGGGATCCCTTTAGTTTCCTCTTTTAAGGGAGAGGATAGTGAGTGTCTAGACACATAGAATTAAATGAGATAAAATATGTAAAGCACAGATAGGCTGTAAATAAGTATAAGCTATTATTGTTATATGCAAGTAACAGAATCAATATAAAGCTTACAATGGGATTATAAAGGGATTGAGTCACTGAACACTCACACTTACACCAAGGCATGTTTGTGAACTATAAAAACCAAGTTGTGAATAGAGCATCTGTGTGTGTGTTACACAATGTTTATATTTTTTCTGTATTTGGAAAATTGTTCTCCCTTTTACAAAGAGCAAAGCCTTTGTAGAAAATGAAATAAGGGGGGGATCCCTGGGGGGCTCACCAGTTTAGCATCTGCCTTCAGCCCAGGGAGTGACCCCAGGGTCCTGGGATCGAGTCCCACGTTGGGCTCCCTGCATGGGGCCTGCTTCTCCCTCTGCCTGGGTCTCTGCCTCTCTCTCTCTCTGTGTCTCCGTGTCTCCCATGAATAAATAAAACAAAATCTTTAAAAAAAAGATAAAAAGAAAATGAAGTGAGGTAGTTAATTCTTGGGAGTATTTCAGGATTCCTGCCACTTCCTGGATTCAAATTCAGCCTTGGTTGGCCTCAGGGGTAGTATCAGCCTGTCCAGGCATGACCTGCGTCTCGAGACTCCGTTTCCCATTTCATGCTGTAATAGCGTCCCACGTGCTTGGTGTGTGACACACTCCGTGACATGGACTCTCCCACCAGGAGCGGCGTGCTTGTGGGCCGCAGGTGCACAGATCCCGTGCTCGCATCCGTGCGCTTGTCCTCAGCATCACACGGGGGTTCAGGGACCAAATGGGGTTCAGTAACATCACCAAAGAGGCTTTCTCTCAACTAAGTGCTGTTTTCAGATCACATCCTATTAGGAAACGGAAAGTCTTTTTCCTACCACAACACAACACCAGGACGCGTTCCCAGAGACCGTGTCGGAAGTCTTCAGAAAGACGGGGTTCAACACAGCAAACAGACCGGTAGTGATCCGTGGTGTCCTGGGATCAGCTAAGGCCACTGGGAGAAGAAACTGCTGGAAGATGCTCTTTGGATTTGAAGCCCTTCTCCAGCGGTGAGGTGTCCACTGGGGACCCCGCAGCTTCAGGCCAGAAGACTTTATGCCAGAGAATCGTCTAGACTCACGGCAGGAGGATGTCCAGATTTAAGGAATGTCCACACATCTGTCTCCCCAAGGTTATAAGCTCAGTCTAATCATGAGCAAGAACATCAGACAAACCCAAACAGAGTGACATTCTACAAAATAAATGCCTGAGCAAGACTCCTTAAAATCCCCAGGGTTATCGACAGCAGGTAACGTCTGGCAACCCGTCAAAGCCAGGAGGAGCTTAGAGACGCGGGGTGGCTAACGGCGCTGTGGTACCCAAATGGGAGCCTGCAGCCAACACGGGGAACACACAAAAACTGAAAAAAAAGGACGGACTTTCAGTTAATTAAAATGAATCAACGTTGGTTCATTTATTGTGACGGAGGTTAACAATAGGGGGGGCAGGGTGGGGAGTTTATGAGAACCCTGTGTACTAGCTTCACAGGTTTTCTATAAATCTAAACCTGCTACAAAATTGAAAAAATTAGGTATTTTTTAAAAGTCAGAAAAGAAGTCTGTAAGAGCAGGGCTGAAGTATCAGCTGCTGGCACCAGGTGCCACTTGGGATACCATAGGGTCGGCTCAGTCCTGAAACAGAAATACAATTTAACGTCAGGTCATTTAGCTCTTAGTCACAGTATATGAAACACAGTAATTGCTTTGCCAATTATTCGCCGGATTTTGCATGTCAATTTAATTAGCTGCCCCCAACTGTCACAGAAAACACTATATGAAACATAAGGCAATCATGTAACCTAAACAAGTAGAATTGCAATGATTTTATGAGATCTAATAAAGAAACCCATCAAGATTTTGGGACAACCAAATCATAAAAATTCACTTAAAAATCTGCAGGCATGAACTCAACCCTGCGGCGTTTGGAAGAAAAATAAAATGTAGAGCCCGTAACCTACCTCTCTTCCCATTTTTATTTTTACTTCCTTTGCCTAAACGATTTCTGGATTCCCACTTCCAAGGCAGGTTCCCGGCAACACGTCTTTGAGGATGTCCCACAGAAGTGCCCAAAAGCCATTTTGTCAGCGGTTGACCGAGGCCTTGGGCGGCCTCCCCGGCTGGCCTCTCACCGCGGCCTGGGGGCTGGCGGGGGCCGCTCTGCTCCCCCCCTCACATAAGGAAAACGAGGCACAGAGGGGCCAAGCAAGTACGAGAGGGGACGGTCTTCTGGGCCTCCATGTGACCCCTTCCCCCCGAGAGACACCCTCACTCAGACCTCAGACGGGTGGCCGTGGCCTCGGTGTCACGGTGCTGGGGTCTCCAGCCCAGAGCCCCACCTCTGTGCTGCCGTGCCCTCCCCCCGTGGTCTTGGATGGGTGCGCGCAGGTGGAGAGAGGGTGCGGGGGAGACGGGGACAAGCGCTCCAGTGTCTCATTTTCAGAGGCCACTAATGCCACCGTGAGGCTCCCCTGTTCTGGCCCCTCATTACCTCCCAAGGCCCCGTCCCCGTGTCCATGGGCTCAGGCCTCGGGCTTCACGCGGGAACCCCGGGCTCACTTACCCCGAGGGGCCACTGTCCTCTCCCTCTACCCTGCTCCTCGGCCTTGGCAGGACACCCCCGCTCAGGTGCTGACGCCCCAACAGGCATTGGCCGGGCCTGGCCTGGGAGTGGGGTCTACACTCACCTGCCCTGGAAAAGCGTGGGATTATTGGGGGCCACTTGGCTCCCCGCAGAGGGCCCGAGACCTGGGTCCCGGGCCCTCAGTGCCACCCGCCTCCCCGCTCAGGGCAGGGGCCACTGGGCCTGTCCTTCAAGGACACGGCCACGGAGTCTCGCGTCTGACCGAGGAGGACAAGCGTGGTTGGTGGCACCTGTGGCAGCGCCGGGAGCCCCGACGGCAGGCCCGTTCCCCGGAGGGCGCCCTGACCCGAGCCGGTGCCTCCGGGTGCCTGGCCCTGGGGACCGGGGCCCACCCGCTGCCACTATCCCACCGCCCGTCCGGCCGCAGGGGACCCGGAGAGAGAGCTGGAGCCCCAGCAGGACAGTCGGGGGGCCTGGCTCCCGCACCGGCCCTGTGTCACCCGGGCGCAGCATCGGGCCCACGGGCGTCCTGCTGGTGTGACAGCCGAGGGTCGGCTGTGACAGGTGGCCGTGAC